CACCCCAGTCCACTTCATCCTGCCCACCACAGCCTGATTTATTACTATGGGGGGACAGCCATACCCCACAGGCCCACTGGATGACACCATAAATGCAAATCCACATAGGAATGAATTGGCTTGTACCAGGGAGGAGAAGAAGAAGATCACTCAGGACTATGCACAACACCTATCTTTTCTGGGTATACCTATGACCTTAAAAACAATAACAGGTTATTTGCTTGATATTAGCTTTACTGGGCACTCTATATATGGGATTTGCTGTGCACCATACAAATAGCCTAGATTGACTGTGATATGTACATTATACTCTTGCAACACAATTATAATATGATGTAGCCTTCAGCAACCTCCTGGGAAAGCATACCTTTTAGCTTTGAATCACATTGTGTTTGGCCTTCATATCCTTACTCCATTGTGATTGTCAAGAAAGATGTATCAAAGCAAAGACATGATATAAAGCCAATATATGTGTGGATGGGTATTGGGTATAGGCTTAGAGAATAAATGTACTAAGATTGATAATCACAACACTTAAACAATGACATGCACTGTCTTTTAACAATTGCTTTTATATAATAGGTATGTGAAAAAGCAGATGCCATTTAAATGATAGTGTAGTACTCTAAAGTTACCCATTTGTTGAAAAATGCTATGTTAATGTTCAAAATTGATAATGGGATGTGGGTACATAAGAATTAATTCTACATAAATATTGTCTATACGCTATATTGAAATTAGATTGTAGAATGGTTTAGAAACCCTCTCAGGTTTTTATGGTTGTCTGGGCCCTCAATGGGGAAATCCACCCCCTGTGTTTGTCATGTTTGTCACATGTTATGTGTGGACATTGTTACCAAGACTTAACTTGATGGAAAATCCAAAATTATGAGTTTTCACTTGAAAGAATGCAGGTTTAGTTTTCCAGTAGGGACACCTGTTCTAATGTCAACTATATAAGAGAGAATGCCCCTCACTTTCCAGAGATCTCCTTGCACTTCCCTGTTGTGTCTACAGGACAGGAAATGATGGGAGATATCCCCAATGTGGGATTTTCTCTACTCTTATGAAAAACTACTCTGAAAAAAACTTTTTTTTTAGATAGGGTATAAAAACATAAATTGCCTTTAAACATATTTAAAATATTTAAATGGCCAGCTGGGAGCTTCTTAAATGTAACAGGGCATCTAAAAATGGCCTGTTTGCCCCGCCCACTCAGGAAGCTGCCAAATTTAAAACAGGCAGTGATGTCTGTTTACATACAAGTGGTCCAGCGGCTATAGAGATGCCAGATCGCTTGAATGAGGTACTGGTCGGTGCTCCCCCCTTCGCAGCAATGGTCCTAAGCTCCGCTGTGCCTGCTGTGGGCTGGGGACCAGCACGGCGGCTCTGTGACAGGGGATCAGAGGGAGTTCAGCACACGAGCTCCCTCCAATCTCCTCTCCAGTGTCAGAATGTATGAAATTATGTATATTATGTCACTTCCGCATTCTGCTGTCACTCTACGGCTTCAGAAGCTGGAGAGAAGCTGATGAAGCAGATCTCTGCTTCATCAGCTTCTTTGGGGGTCCCTAGGTGACCCCTGATGTCTCCATAAACAGGACCTGTCACATCCTCTTTGCTATCACATAGGGGGCTTCGTAAAGTTAACTTTAAAAAAGTTGCAAAAAAAATTAAAGTCACTCATAAAAAAGAAAACACAAAAAAAGTTTAAAGTCCCCAGCACCACATACACGCGCACAAACATGCGTCGGCTGTGCATACGTGCGAAAAAGACAATTGTGCCCATTATGCCGCATATGTTACATATCACTGCGAACGTCAGACCACGAACAATAATTCTAGGGCCAATATTCACTGATAACACTAAACCGATGAGTGGTAAAAGCTTGTAAAGCATCCCCTATGGCCAATTTTGGGTATGGAAGTTTTTTGCGATTTCATGGGTGTGCACAATTTTAAGGCTTGACATGTTTGATTTCTACTCTACCGACATGAACATGTCTTTTATATTTTACCCAAAAAATGGGTAATAATAAATGTATTATAACATAATGTAAAAAGAATGTTTTTAAAAAAAATTTAGGTAATTTTTCCTTAAAATAGTAAATAATAAAAAGCCCAGTTGTGATTAAATGCCAACGAAATAAAGCTCTATTTGTCCCGCAAAAAATGGTATAAAAATTATTTTAGTACAGCGTTGCATGACTGGATAAATGTAGTAAAAGTACTGTAGTGCTGAATACTGAAAAATGGCTTGGCCAGGAAGGGGGTGTAACCTGGTCTTTAAGTGGTTAAATACAACCTCAGCATTCATATTTTTTTCTTGCATTATTTAATGTACAAACATGTGTGGCTTAATGCCTCTCTTGTATGTGACAGGTGCACTTAAATAATTGAATAACCACGCAGATGAAGAATAAAACCAGTGGATTTGTGTTGTGCTGCAATTTATACCTGGCAATACAGATTACCACATGTAAGTGGTAATATTTGCATCCCTGCCTGTATAGTTGATTGATAAACATGTAATAATGCACCAGATGTTGCTGTCAAATGCATCAGAAGTCAATTAAATATCGCAAAACAGAACAGTGAATCTGAAGGAGCGCCACCACAACCACCTTACTTACAGATGAAATGCTCGAGAAATAAAGCTGGCTTAATGAAGCATCTCTACACCATTTAAGTAGTGGGAGCACTTATGTTTCAATCACAACAGTTCCTCACTTACTGTTCAATTAAAATGGAGAATGCAAATGAGGTAAATAATTGAAATAACTATCCACAACAAATGACTATTGGTGGAGAAAAAGTGAATTTAAATGGATTTTCAGTTTAGAATCTTAGATTAGGGAGTTTGTAAAAGTAAACAAATGAGGGTGGTGATAGTGGTGGTGGGGGGTTAATTGAAGATAAAGCAGAGTTTGCAATATGCCAATCAGTTAGTAAATGCTCATCCATATTTTTACGCTGTACTTGCATGCAGGTGTGCATATTCACATGAGATGGTTTAGTTGGGGTGCAAATGGTTACAACCTATGGAAACAAAGAACATTTTCTGTCCGGTTTCTTAAAGTGGACCTTTAAGCTGAATGTTACTGATTTGTGGCAAGATCAACACCAACAAAATCAGAACAAAATAAAGAGATTATCTATTATTTCTCCAGAACCCCTGCATGCTTGACCTGCTGTTACCAGTCAAGGCAGAGGGATGGTCAGATGATCACATGATCTCAATGGTTCCAAATTCAGGCAGAGTCACTGACTGGCAAGCCCTGCTTAAACATAGCTTCTGCATGAAAAATGGAGGTGTAAAGAAAAAAGGAGATAGCCATGGGATGCATGATGGTGTGCATCCATTACATTCAGGCTGCTGCTTCTTTGTAAAATATTCCCCTCTTCTGGCACTGTGAGAGTTAACAACTGGCGCTCCTATTCTGCAATGGTGTGCTGTTGGCCTGTCCCCCTCTGCTCCTTTCACCATTCACAGAGCTTGTATTAATACTGTATTATCACACAAAGCATTGCGTTCTGTGAATGGACAGTGGAGATTATGTCATTCAACTGCTACTCCTCCATTCACAGAGCTCAATGCACTGTAAGGTGACTATGGGCATTTTGGGACATTTTCTACATTGAATGGGCTTGAGTTTACATGTCCCTCACCAGGTATATAGATATTTTCATTTCCTTCTCTCACAGTCAACAAATAAAATGTAACAATTTTCCAAGTATGAAAAGTGGAGTAAGAAAAGATCTGTGTCACACCAACAAACATATAATGTGTTTGCTTTCAGTGTCCTAGAGCTTGCTAACAACCCTGTCACCATTCTCAGGGCAATAATATTGGTTGAAAAATTAAATTCTTGCATTAGCTTTTTTTATTCCTAATGTCAATCTTCTGATAGTGTCTGCATTGGCCTATAATGCACCTTAGGCTAAGGCAGGAGTAGCTAAACTCCGGCCGTCCAGCTGTGGTGAAACTACAAATCCCATGATGCATCTCTCTCCGGAAGTCATGTCTGTGGCTATGAGAATCTTGGAATGCCTCATGTGATTTGTCATCCCACCACAGTTGGAGGGCCGGAGTTTGGCTACCACTGGGCTAAGGTAATCATCTATTTCTATTTGTAAGGGACTGTCTCAGGCAGATGTATAGTGTTCCCATCAGGCCACCATCCCATCTACTGGCCTAGGAAGCTCTGTTTTTATTTTAACTTTATTGCTTGCAGGATTCCAATGGCTCTGTTGTACATTATACAGTCTGCTCTTTTGAAAGACTACATGTTTGACATTTCCAGCCTTGTATAGAACTCTGTGGCACTCCCTAGGCACTGTAACTACTTGAAGCAGAGATATAAACACAAGGGAACCAAGCATAAAACTACTGGGCCCTAAAGCCAAAAATGTAAACAGTTATACTCCACAGGGAGAGACCTTTAGCACCTTCCAAAATAGGTTGCATTTGCGGTATCAAAGGGTTCTTCTGTGGCTGCTAATGAGGGGAGGGGACATCAATGTAACAGATTATTTACAGGTAAGTGTAGGGTGTCCGTGGGTGAGGAATCCTGCAAAGAGTAGTCAACCTGTTTGTAGCTTTCAGGAATCCATTTATTTATTTGAAAGTATGAATGAGGATATGAACGAGGTTTTTTGGTGGGCACCCCCTTCTTCAGGCTTCTGAGGATTATATAAGCTTGATCCAGCTGGTGACTGCATTGGTTATGCCTTGGACCATTAGGAGCTTATATCATGGTAAGTACTCCATTCAAGGCTGCATGTCTAAACCCTAAACCTTTATAAAGTGTTTAGATCTTCTTTAAAAAAACAGGTTACTATCAAAATCATCATTTTCACCTGACTCATCAGTAAAGCATATATAGAAAAATGTGCAGTCAATAACCATTCCTAGAATTTAAATAATTCAGCATAGGATACATAAACACAAATTCATACATCAGGATAACTACATTAGAGGATTGTGCTTGCATACATACCCACAAGGGACATCTCAGGGACAGTGGCATGGTACGGCCCATTAAGAAATTCTGGTGCGTTGTCATTGATGTCCTGAACTTTTATGATGAACTCTGAAGGTGGTTCTAAAGGTTTGTTCGTATCTCTATCCACGGCCTGTGCTGTAAGGGTGTACTCAGCCTTCTCCTCCCGATCAAGTCTCTTCATTGCGTGAATATCTCCCGTCTTGTCATTGATCACAAAGATGGTGCCGGCTCCCTCTCCAGAAAGAATGTACTTGATTCTGCTGACCCCAGGATCCAAGTCTGTGTGAAGCTAAAATGACAATTAGCATTCTGTTAGTGCTGTGGCTATCAATAAGATCCATTTGCAACTGTGTTACTTTGCCCTGGAGGATGGCGATCATGAGTATTGTATAAGTAATTGACACACAACCAAATGAAGCAGCGGTTTATAATAATACTCCCAGTACTGCTGTAGTAACTAATCATAAGCTGTGACAAGTTTTAAACCTGCTCATAAATAGCATCATTTCTTATGTTTTGACATAAATATGTAGATTTTCCTTTCCTGTTTTTACATGTATAAAAAGATTAAATGGCAAAACTTATTGAACTGTCATCTTGAAGTCAAGTTATAGTGGAGATGAAGTATCAAAACCTTTAGTCATTATGACACACTTCAGGCAAACAGCTAACAATAGGATAAATTCATTTGGAAACTGGTTCACCTTCCACAGGTCTTGAAAATGCTTTAGAACCAAGCAGCACAGCCAGGTAGTCGACTTCCACTGCAGCAGCACAGTGGTCAGAAACTGCTGATTGGGCAATGCAAGAGCAACAGCACACCTATGCGTCTTCTCCCTGCTCACTGCCCCTGTCAGCATGTTCTCTGCCAGCACATGTGCACTGCAGGAGACCCTAACTGGCTTGTAAGGATTTCCCTTAGTCCTTCCTAGTCCTAGTGTTGCTATTCAGGGGATTACAGGAGGATTATATGAATACATAATCATGTATTTACCCTTGTTGCATTACAAAAAGACATTCACTGATCATCAATGAATGCAGAACGTCATTCACATTCCTTTTTTTTTATAAAAGCCTGAAGATCAACTAAAGAAGCAGACAATCAGTACTTGCATGTACCTCTATTTATTTTCCCGAATTGCCCAGAAGCCCCTAAACTCATGGCACTCAGTATACAAATATCAGATCTTAGCAAAGAATGGTAAGTAGATCCTGCTGGGAAGGGGAGCTAAGTGACCCTTTTTACTTTGCTCTGTATGAACACAGGAAAGAGATCTCTCTCATTTGAATATGTATAAAATATGTAAAAGACTACGGTCCTTAAAGTGTATGCAAATCCTAACAATTATTTTCTTCCTCTTGATCTGTAAAATATACCACTGAAAGTGTTTTGCTATATTGGTTTGATGAGTTGATCCTACCAAAAATGATGTGAGCTGATAACTTCCTTCATAGATACAGTACAGTGGGCGAGCATTGTCACCCCTGGACAGGAAGTGTCTTACTGGCAGTTCACCACAAGAGTGTGTTACTTGGAGCTCACCCTAGGACAGGAAGTGTGTTACTGGTAGCTCACACCAGGACAGGGTGTGTGTTACTGGGAGCTCACCCCAGGACAAGAAGTGTGTTGCTGGCAGATCACCCCAGGACAGGAAGTGTGTTACTGGGAGCTCCCCCCAAGACAGGAAGTGTTGTACTGGCAGCTAACCCGGGGACAGGAAGTATGCTACTGGCAGCTCACCCCAGGACAGGAAGTGTGTTACTGGTAGCTCAACCCAGGACAGGAAGTGTGTTACTATCAGCTTTACTTTATGAAAATAAAGTAAAGTCTGAAAAAGTTAACTAATGCACTCAAGACATCTAAGGATTGGTAAACTGCAATATATTTCATATTGTGTTGTACTATTGCTTTGAGTTCTATTTGTTTTAAATATTCAAAAATAAAATCTCCTTCTGTCAGATTTCTGTTCAGCCTGGAGGCAGTTGCAAGGTCTCCATATCTTGGTTAAATGGGAACATTGTCTCTGCAGTTGTTGTAGGTTGTGATCAGGCTTACGTAGGGCACTGCAAATTCCCCTTATGGATCGTGACTTTGGCCATTATACAAGGTCGTTCGTAGCCACAGGCTCCTTCATCTGTCTTTAGCCATGGCAGGAACAACCAGGTGTGTTGTTAGGAATGTATATTTCCTCCTCTGCAGCTACATGACACCGTCCATGTCTTCATATTGCTTTTTACCCATACTGTTATATTGTGGAGGAGTGCAACGATAAAGATGTGCAAATTACTTTAACCCATAGTGACCAATAGAAATGAAAAAAAAGAAGTTGATTTCTAATTGGTTGCTATGGATTACTGTGCTTTGCATATTGCTGTCTGCCTTACTGAATAAGCCTTACAGATGTGGAAAGTATTTTTCTTGTTACCTACAAAAAAGTAAGAAAACTATATACTGAGTATGGAAGAATGGAAACTTACAAATAATAATAAATGATAAATAAAGTATATTTTAGAGGCCAACATTTTATTTGTATTATTATTACTATTATTATGTAGTACATTATATTCTTATATTATAATAATTTTTTTTGTTTTGGATAACCAATAACTAAGGGAATAATTAAAACCATTATTTGTCCTAGTAGGAAGATGTGTCTTTGTTTTCAAAGACAAAAAAGAGACAAAAAAGGAAGTGACATAAGATCTATTCAAAGTGAGTGGGAAAGTTGTCACTGAACCAGGTATGCCCATTGGAAGTTTTTACCTCCATTCTTGTTCTGGGGACAACTGTAATATTTTGGATTTGCCATCACATTCTGTCCTAGGTACAATAGTCACCAGGGCAAATAGGTTGCATCTCCCCATCAGTGATGCAGCAGCTTAATGAAGCAGCAGTGCAGCAAAGAAAAGGTGAGTATGTTCAGCTTTGGAGTAAATCCGCTGCTTTTTCCTGCTCGGGCAAAGCGCCTGTTCATTTTTAAAGCATTTTTCTTAATCCTTGAAGTGAGGCTACCCCTGCACTGCAATGGCTACGTGCCCATTTTTGTCTAGGTTCAAAAATAAAAAAGTTATCCTCACAGAGCCGGCTTTCTCTTAGGCTGGTCCTTCCAGTCTCTCTCCCCCTCTGCCATGGCGGGATATGAATCCTCGAGTCATTACATCAAATGCACTGTGTATAGGACATGAGGATGCCAAGGGACATACTATCGCTGAGGAGACAGGCAAGAGGGAACGCTGTTACAGGCAGCTGGCTCCCGGGATCAAGTGAGTATAACTTTGTTATTTTTGAACCCAGGCAAAAATAAGCACTTAACCCTTGCAGTGCGGGGGTAGCCCCGCTGCAAGGGTTAAGACAATGTTTTCCCCATGGTTGTTCTTTAAGTTGAGGTTGAAGGTATCTAATCCCAGGAGCAAACATTTAATATATCGCACCTTGCCAGACCTTAAATGTGGTGACTGAATTTGTTTTATTTTTGTTCTGGTTAAGTGCAATTTTAGTAAGTATGGAAAATACATGGTGATCCTGCCAGAATTCCAATGTCCTTGCAACTTCCTGTACCCTAAATTGAAATCTTAAACAATGCTATCAGCTTTCCCAGATACAGATGTATCCCCTGCACTCCTTACAGCATTTAGGACCATACAGTAAATGGTGGTGCTCGCAGTGATGATCATGGATAGTGCCATGCAATACCAAGTCTTGATGCAGCCATATAAGGCCGGCGACATCAGCACAAGCAACCCCCCACTTTGTTGAGCCTGCAGCTGATTTGGCAGGTGGCCTCATGGCACTTCTGGGTTCAGAGGAGCTAAGGATTGGTCTGAACATGATCTCTTCCCCAGAAAATAAGTGTGTGTGTGTGTGTGTGTGTGTGTGTGTGTGTGTGCAGGATCACCAGAGGAAAAAGGAAAAAAAGCCTGAAAAAAAGTAATACAATTATGTAGTCACCACATCTAAGGACTGGTAAGCTGCAATACAATATAATGCATATGCAATATATAGATGCTAAGTGTAGGGTTTGGTTTGCAATCTATGTTAAGTTAAGTGGTTATATTCAAATTAAGAATCATATTTATATCTGGGATTCCACTGGGATAGTTTAGTGAAGCATATAGATCTCTAACACTAAGCCCATGATTGGGTGAAACACATCAAAGGGGGGTGGACCTTGGGCAGGACCCCAGTGATGTGGTCCAAGCTTCAATAAACTATTTCCAGTGGAATCTGTTGTGCGGACAGCTTTTCTTCTCTTTGTATGGGCTCATACTGGAGCAAGGATGTGCTTCCATCGGCAAGCACCTGGCGAATTCCTTTCTTGAGCTGCGGAGAAGCAGTGCTTATTTTGTGTGTTCTCGTTGCATATTTATAAAGTAGTTAATCTGACATTCACCAAATATTCACTGCAGGTTAGTCTTCCTGGAACATTTTTTTGTTTTTTTTAATGACTATTGAACATTTGGTGAAAGTCACATTTTCTACTTTATAATTATGTCCTTTTTACAGTAAGTGTCTGTGATTGGCTATATTTTTTTTTGGGGGGGTGGGGGGGTTTGTCAGATTCATTTTTCAGGTTTCAGAAATTATTTTTTTCAGTTTTGAGGACAATTCTTATCCTGACATTTCAAGAACCAAAAACACAGAAAAACAAGGTGTACCAAATAATTTTTTCTTCTCGCACAAATACTTAGACAAGGAATACATCTCCTATTTTCTTGTAAAGGACACAGTGATATGAGAATACTTACTAAAAAAGCCAATGTCATTCCTTTTTTTAGAATAGACACCAACCACTGGGCTCTATGTATGGACTCCGCCAACACTGTCTCGGTTTATTTCTGTAAACTTGTAACTTTGACTTGTGCTAGCTGAGCACCTGACTGTCCTTATGTAGAAGAAAGAAGGACAAGATTATTAAATGTTGACTTTTCTGGGACGATTGCCTCATCTAATTAGCTAGGACAGGCTTAGGTGATGTCTGTGTCCATTTTTGTAGGGGAAGAAATTGATATATTTGGGACTGCATTAGGCAAAAAATTACTTATTGCCAGCCACTAGTGAATTACATCTGGGAATAAAATATATCCCTCGCATATGGCTTCCTCACCGGTCTGAGTTGATAAATGGTCTCTCAGTTTCTAATTGGTTCCAATTTATTTAAAGGGCCACTAAACAGAAATTATTGGTTGGTTCCTGTTATTTAATTGTTTTTACTAACCTTCAATATGTAAATATTTCAGGAGCTCACTGAAACTTGTATGAAAAATAAAGACAGTAGAGTGAGGAACAAT